ATATGTTTAATATATTTTGGAAAAGAATATTGAATAAAAGTAGATTATCGATTACCTTGAATGCATGAATTTACTAGATTACGAATTAAGAATTGAATTAAATAACCATAGGGGGATTCAAGATTCCAATACAAACATTTACATATTAGATAAACACTTTATTTGCTTTATTAGTTTAGGATTAGTATAAATAATATATGAAATATCTCTTTTGATATCACTACACTTCGAATTTAATAGTAGCTATTAAACTAGAAATTAGACCTTATTTCTCATGAGAACGATACTCTTAACTTACAAATTTTATTACTTGTACAACGATCTCGTACACTTGCGGGTTTCACGCGAAAGGTGATCACATTTAATTTGTTAATCAAGATTATTTACCTATTGCACTGTTTAGTCAAATTATTCTAAAGTATTTAATTTATCTCTATCGAGTTCAAATTGATTCTATTTAATTAAGTCAATTCACATATACATTTAATTTTTAAGAACCTATGTAATGACCGCAGTAACGATAAAATTTATATTGATACTTTTATCGAAATTACTGAATTTTATTATGTGGTCTAAGTCAATAATTTATCTCTCAATTTGTTACATATTCACATATCATTAAATTAGTGGCAGGTTAATTCAAGGCATTAAAAATTCAAAAAAAAAAAAAATCAACATGTAAAAATTAAATTATAAGGTCACATATAGATTACATTATTTGTCCTAACTATTAATATGGCAACTCATACTAATAAAAGAAAAATAATAATAATAAAAGTATACAGTTCATAACCGAATTTTGAAACATTGATGAATGAAGGAATTGAATCTTGCACTAAGAATCTTCTTCAGCCATAAAAATCTTCAAATCATAACTCTGCCATTTAATCTTGATGCTTTATTTATTTTTCTCTCTAAAATTTGTATGTCCCATAAAAAATGATAATGGAAACTGTATATAAATTCTACAATAATAACACTAGAAAAGAGTCATAAAGCATCTTCCATATAGAATTTGAGTATGATTAGGAACCCAACAAACTAATTTAATGCAATTTGGTCCTCCACATTAAGTTCTTGTTCATCCCAGATCATTTTTATTTGGAATGACTTCCTTAACTTCAAGGCATTGTAATTCCGATTCTTAATTTCTCAATTTTGTACAACTTTAATCTAATTTCATCCAAACTTGTCCAATTCGAATTTTAACTTCCGTTCAATAAATAAGAATAAAAGTAATAAATGCATAAAAATCACTTATCAATACCTTGAAAAGTTTATTGAAGACCCAATTTTCGGGCTTCAATAGCCTACCTAGTCAAACAGAAATAAAAAACACAAAACACAAAATGAGCCAATAATAATAATAATAATAATAATAATAATAATTAAATGTCGTTTAGCAAATATTCGACAATCACATGAGAATAACACTTTATTAGATAAGAAAACCTCACAGTACAATATTTTCACGACTTTCTCAACTTCTCTCTACCTAAAACTAAAGCGCACCAACTTTTTATTTCTACATTATTATTACCACCACCATTTAGATGCATCTAAGTCCAAGCGCTATTAAACCTACCACCTAATACGCAATGAAAGAAATATTACAAACCACAGACGAAAAGAAAAAAACTTCATCGATGAATAGAAAAATTAACTCATATTAATGTACCTTAAAATGAGTGAGCAAACCACAAAAATGAGCTAGCGAGAAAAAACTTCATCGATAAATAGAAAAATTAACTCATATTAATGTACCTTAAAATGAGTGAGCAAACCACAAAAATGAGCTAGGGGACCAAATTTGCACAATTTATCTAATGTGTACCGACATCAACACGATATAATTATGTACCTATAACAATGTGCTTGCCTGTGTAACTTGTCTTGAAATAATAGACCAATTGACTTGGGGCATGTTTGGTTAACCATAAACATTATGTGAAGGATCCTTATGTCCTAATTACTTATCATAAACTATGTTTTATTTTATTATTATTCTTGACAAATGAAATATATAAGTATTCAACCAATTAACAAGGTAAATTTCAAAATAATAATTTACCTAAATCAATTAAAAGGGCCTCAATATTTATAAAATAGTAATAATTGTAAGCGCATAGCTATAAGTTATAAAGATTGATAAATAAAAAAATATATTTATCTATTTAATTACACATGATAAAATGGATATATAAAACAGGTCAAATCAATAATTTAAAAATAGTAATATAATAAAACTTGACCTCATAAAAGCTGCATTAAAAAAAAAAATAGAGGCCAATTATTTTTCTTTTGTTAGTATGTTTTATATTGTTATACATGAGTCTCATTTGTACTTTTTAAAAATTTTGAAACTTTAGCTGCAATTATTTCTTTTCTGATAGTCTTCTTTCTTTCTATTTGTTTATTTAAAGATAAAGGTAAATTAGTCATTTTACAATGTTTTAATGGAGAAAATTCAAAATATACATTAAGGACCTTTTGCGCAAAAAAATAAAAATAAAAATAAAAAATCGACCTAGAAGCCCAAATGTCAAAATTGAAAAGATGAGGACGATTTATGTAATGAAGACAAACGATAGGAATGTTTTGCGTCAATTATCCATATTTGACGGAACGAGACGGAAAAGACCAACTTTGCAAGAAAATGTTGAAATAAAGGTGCAATGTTAAGTTTAAAACGATAGGGATGATTTGTGCAATAATTGCAAATGATGAGGATATTTTGTGCTAATTACCCTTCGTAGATGTAACATCCAATCTGAGAACCTCTAAGAAGATATTTTATATATTGCATTAAGTAGGATTAAAATAAAAAAGACAAGTCACACCTAATATTATTGAGTTTAACATACCAAAATGCATGCAACGTTAAGCCCTTGTTTAGGCTCCATCAAAATGTAATTTTGGGAAAATATATTTTGAAATAATGATTTTTTTAAAATGTACATTTAAAAAAGAAGGAAATATTTTAGATTTACTTGTAATATTATTTTATTGAAAAATGTGTTTGAAAAGAAGAAAGAAAAAAATGCATTAAAATTAAAATGGAGTCCAAACAAGGCTAATTCTATGAAGATAAATTTCATTTCCTCCATTTATTTTTTATTATAAAAGTCACAGGTTTGAGGTTTAGCATGTGCAAATTTAATATTTGATGCATGAAAGAAGAATATCAGTGAATAACCCAATAAATTACATTAATTTTTTTTTTTTTTTTTCACACAAGTATAAAAGGTAGGAACTCAGGGATGAGTAGGAAATGATGAACATCTCAACACAAAAAAATTTAACATAACAGATTGGATAAAAGTCTGAAAAAAGCAAATAAAAAGTAGAGTTGTCTTGCTGTAAAACTTTCCAGAAAGGTCCAAATGCCCCAACTTCATTTGAAATTTTTGTTCTGAAGCAGGAATATAATGAATGTGATCCATTTAAGTCTTTGAAACAAACGAAGAAAGAAACAATTTAAACCAATGTTAGTTAAAAACATCCATGAAAAACTTGATGTCTACTACAAAAATATGTTAAGGCAATCTCAGAATACATGTAATGCTGGTGTTCCTGTGAAAAAGCAAGTGCCTTTGGCAGCCAATTGAGAAATTTTCTCAGAAGGAAATGTTGTTATATTGATTTGAAAATAAACCACAACTTATACAAGATGGTTGAACCTAGCTAGCTATACACGGTCCAATTGCATAAAACGCTGCGTCTATCCCTTAAATTGTGTATGCCAATACTCTTTTCCTAAGAATGATAAGAGTGTTTTAAATTTCTATTCACCGTTGATTTCATCTACATTAGTTCTAGTAGTTGTCTTGAGAGAAATTCAATGATTTCATCTACATTAGTTCTAGTAGTTGTCTTGAGAGAAATTCAATTCATCTCTGATTTCCCTTTCTTCACTGTGAGGGTGAGCAGGTGAGAACACTGCAATCTTAGCGAAGCTATGGTTAAAAATTGTTGGGTTTTTTGATACCCAATAAATCCGGGCGATAATGTAAATCGATTTTATAGTTTGGATTAGACTTC